TAACACTTCCTAGTTCTGCAGCGATCAGAGATAAAGCAATCTTCACCCTCGTGGTGAGTTGGGGCGTGGACGGGGTGGAATGTGGATGTTTTAGTTCCTTAGGGTCGATTTGTCGTTTAACCTCCATTTGGTCAACGTTTTATGCTCTATAGTCTGATGGACCCTGTCTCTTTACCCTCCATCTACCTAAGACTAGGGTATATGGAGGGCCAGGGGACAGGTTCCATCATACAGACTATATAGCCTAGAACGCGGTATTTCGGTGTCTGCAACCACAGCTGAGGAAAACATCCATATTCAAAACCTCACACACCTGTCTCGTACACTCCTGACCCTTTGTCTACCTGGGACTGGTGTAGACGAGAGGTCCAGGAGACAGGTTCCATCATACAGACTATATGACGCTTCTGGATATAAGAATGACAACTTAAGGCCTTGTAAGAGAAGGGGTGTGCCCTTGAACCCAGGACATCTCTATTGGCAAACAATTGACGACCACCTGTTCGACAATTAGCAATCAGCTGTTAATTGTCAGCTGTTCCCACATCACTCCTATCAAAATTCATGAGTGAATTGTCACCTGTTGACGAGTCGTTGCTAATTCTGCGTCCTTGAATTTCAAACAACTTGTGCTGAAGTGAATGGCGTCATTCCGAGTATTCATATTCAAAACTCTTTGTCTTGTCTCTGGTGATTCCAAAAGTTGAGAACGGACCTTGAATTTAAATGAAATGCCAATGTTGCCCCCGCGTGCGATTTAACACTGGAATCTAAATCAGGAGGCATTCCCAAGGCTAAACTACTTTGATTTATTGTTAGCTTTATCTTATCATTGTACACAATTTGTATTTTCCCCTTTTAAAAATCGAAAGTAATATCTGCCAATCAATAGTCAGATGAAAAGCACCTTGTTTTTCTGAAGAAAGGGTTTTCTATTACAAGAGTTTCCTTCATTTTAGCATCGTGTTGAAACATTTGTGAGTAGAAAATTAGTGTGAGAGTTTTGGTTCCTATAATTTGATCAAAAAAATTTAAAGTTTGGTTCCTAGTTGAATCGAAACCCCAATGTCTAAACCACTCAACTTTTCAAATCAACTATAAAAGGCAGGCTGCTATGTGTTACAACATGCATTCCTGCCCGGAATTGTTTTCCACATTACTTCAGGCTAGGTATAGAGGAGGTCGCAGCATTATCACTTATAATACTGTATAATCCATTGATGAATCACAGGATTTGTACCCGGGGTCTCGGGGTAGGTCCCGCGCTCTACCACTAAAACAATCTTGCTCCCCACAGCATGCAAGTAAACATAGCTTTGATGATACGTTTAACTCATGAACGCTTAAAAACGCTAATAAGTCCTTTAACAGGTTTGTGATTTCATTTTACTCGCAGTGTAAAATAAATCTGGACAAAACTCAAAGGGTTTTAGCCTACCCAAAAATGACTTGCATCATTAGTGTTTTAAGCAAACAGTTTAATTTTGCGTGTTTCGAGTGTTGAAGAAGCCAAAGGCGTACAAAATGTTGGATCCTCTCCAACTCCCCACATCGTAGGGTGGACGTAAAGAGGCGTATCCTAACCTTGGCGTAGGATTCTTCCACACGACTTTGCCAAGGTCAAACGCTTAGGCCTCTGTAATTAACCAGTTTAGCAAACCCAACTTTGAGGAAAATATCCTAGGGTAATTGGTCGTCAATCTTCTGGATGTTTAAGTTTGAATTTAAGGTACCTAATCGGTGTTTTGGGTATAACGGCTTTATGGTTTTTTTTCTAGGACGCTAAGCACGAGCCTGGGATTGTTTTTCACATTACTTCAGGCTATACCTAGGGGTTGCGGTATTTTCACTTGGATGAAATCCAATGGTGATCTGGCGGGATTTGAACCCGAGACCACAGGGACCGAAGTCCCGCGCTCTAACCACTACACCAGCTCGCTCCCCACGGCTTTATGGGTGGACCCAAGATAGTTTTATCGTTGACTATTGGATACTGAAGTAGACATCCCATCTATAGACCAGCTGTCGCAAATTTTTTATTTCAAAAGAACATAGTTTAGGAGATAGTAACATATTGAGCTGGTATCTTAAATGTATTGTCTAACTTATTCGTTGCTGAGATAGTTGGATTGGTGACTGAGATAGTTAACGGACATAAAAGATCCAATAAGTTGTCTCATCAGTTTGACTTGGTTAAAAAGTCTGAATATTCGACAGAAATCAGTAATTTATATCAGCACAATCTGTCGGTGGCTCACCTCAACTACGTCCATTTTGATTTGAAAACTGGTGACAACTTTAACATGGATATGGAATGTTAAACTATATCAAGTCAAAGGTTTCATACTCTGATAAGATCCAAACACTCTTGGTAAAATCCTAGTTGACACCACATTCACTGATCATCAGTCTGTTATTGAAGATTGAAAAGATGTAGACACTTTAAAAAGATTTGCATTACGATCTTCTCAGTTCAACGAATAAAGTTGTAGTAAAATAGAACATAACGTTTAACTACTGACACTTAGGTAGAAACAATACACAATAAAACAGTTGTAAAGCCCAATTAAACTAAATTAACTGGTTGAGTTAATAAACAAAGGAAGGGATTGTACTGTTGAATTTAACTGTCGTAGTTATGTTCTTTCTCTCCATTAAACAATTCCTCAGGAACGCACTGTTTTTTACGACTTTTCTAAACACTTGAACTTAAAACTTCTTGTTCATCATTATAAAAAATTATGATAATGGTAAGAGAGTTTCAGTAGAAACAAATGGATGGATCTAAAATTTAGAGTAACAAGATTCTACTCGCCCATAATTTGATATTTTTTACATATCTTAAACGTGTTACAAAATTTAGGTGAAAAAGCTTTAAATTCTAATTTATTTTTATTGGCTATTGAGTTTTACTGAACTTCACCTAACATTTTTGTGTGTTTGCGGAATTCTTGAAACTTTCTTAAGTGTTTGTTGTTATGACACGCCGTCATACACCTATGTAAAATGATTTTGCATCTTGACCTTGAGTCTTACAGTGGTTTCTATTATTTTTCAACGCGTAGTAAAAATTATAAAATGGGAATAATTGAAGGATAGAGACAGATCAACTTTCTTTTGGCAGTATCTACGTTTTTGAAGTTTTGCCTCTCTATTTTAGGGCGTTTTTGTTTAATGTCTTAGATCGTTTAATAGTTTAAGAGCCCATCTCGACTCATAATTTATTCCTTTCAACGATTCTCAAGCTATGGCTCATATTCGTTTTTGAAGTTTTACCGTTTTATCTCACTATTTTAGGATGTTGTTTATTATCTCCTAGAACGTTGTCATAATTTAAAATTGACTCATTATTTATTCGCTATGGTGGTCCATGTTGTTTCACCAACAAATTATACCTAACCTAACTGAACCCATACCAACCTAACCTAACCTAACCTTACGCTACATCTCCTCCAGAACATATTCCAGATAGACATAAAAGAACATGAATGAATGGAAAGTTAAGTGGTATCTGCTAGTGGGTAGTGGCAATGATACGAGATTTCCCTTGATCTTTATTAATGTATATAGTGCTCAAATAGGAACCAGATGATTGTCAGTCCAAAGTCATCTAATTTATTCATCACTTCTTTTCTCGTTCTCACCTGAAAAAATAAGTGTCGTATAAATATGATCAAATTGTATGCAAGTTGATCGACATTTTCTAGTGGATATAGTCTGTATGATGGAACATGTCTCCTGGCCTGTCTACCTTTGACCACTGACCAGTCCCCAGGTAGACGGATGCTCAGGAGACAGGCTCTATCACACAGACTATAGTGGCTAGGTCAGTGACAAGATTGACGACTGAGTGAAAGCCGTCGGTGTAGGGGTGACATCCTAGTGGAGGACTTTCTTTCTCTTTCTTGGAAGGCGACTCTGGTAACCTAAATGGGGAGAAACCAGGGGTTGCCTTTCTTGGATAGCTGGACAAGCGAAATTACTGTTGACTTTGAGTGTGGAGGGAAAAGGTAAATAAAGGGTTTTCCGATTCAAAGATCTTGAAGATACAGAATTGCAAAGATGTTAGTGCAAGTAAATACATAATTAACCATCGAAAAACCCCTCCTTTCGAGATAAAGCTTTTAGTATTTAGGATTGATAATTGGGTAGGTATCCAAACAATATGGACCAGCTGTAACAAAATGTTTCCATTAGCCTCCCTGTAGCAGCAAACTTAGGTACTCGTTTAACCTAATGTTATTTAAATATTGTATATCAATCCAGGGAAATGGAAATTCGCTTAGTCTGCAGGTTTGCTGCGGCGGAGGTATTTTTCCTTTAAAACAGGGTTGTACCAGGTCAATTCAAGATGGCCGCTAAACATGCTAATGTTCCTGAAAATGCCTCTACGGTACAAGCTCTCAAAATTCTAAAACTAATTTGTTTCCAATGATTCAGAGCTTGCCATTGGGTGGAGCAAAAATGCTTGCCATTGGGTGGAGCAAAAATAATTTTGAAATATTGTTTAGAAGTTAAAATTGCATGTGAAAAAGACTAATTTACGGATTTTCAAAATGATTTTGTAAATACTTAAAGAAACAATTACGAAGTTTCAGTTCAGACATAGTTTGGGTCTTTGTGAATATTTTATAGTTTATTCCAACTTGAAAAACACTGTAATAATGCCAGGAGGTTCTTTTTGTAGGACCAATAGACGGCTAGCGGCGGGACAGAAATCAGTAATGTTTTGGCACTTTGTCGGTGGCGAAATTCAACTAAAAAATTACTATAGTCTGTATGATGGAACCTGTATCCTGACCGGTCTACCTGTACTGGTCAGGGCCTTAAAAATTGCCACTTCTGAGGTAGATGGAGAGTCAAGAGACAAGTTCCATCATACAGACTATACAACTTTGAAACGGAAATAGAATGGAAATGGAAAATGTATTCTCTTTAAGTTATCAGCCTACCATGTTGTGTTTCAACTTATCACTAATAATGATGATGTGTTGTTTCAGATAGCGGACCCAGCCACTCAGCGGAGGTAAGTTTGGAACGTTTCCACTTTAGGCCTTGGTATACACCATTATACAGTGTATAATGTTATAGTGTATCGTGTATGGTGAAGGGACTGCCTGACCTTACCACAACATTCCTACACCCACATAACTGCACTTTCATTCCTTCAATGGCCGGGATTGTGTCATAGCCTTTGGGCAGGCGAGAGTGTACGGTGGAAGTATGTGCACGACGCGTCTTGTGGGCGTGCTTCATGTCACTGGAGACACCGGGTTCACATCCCGCCAATCACCAATGATGTGATGGTATGATTTAACTGTAGGTACAATTCTGCACTTTCAAAAACCAATAAATAGGGTCTCTAATCCTGGTCTAACTAAACTGCTACGCATAATACTGTACACTTATATCGAATTTTCCAATTAGGGGATAGTGTCCGTTGGCACGATTACCAAACAAAATCTGATTTTGATGAAATTTGGTAGAAACGTGTAAATAGAACGAGATCGCGAACCAGAATGAACCGACTTTGGGTACGGGGTTTTATGGAGGTAAACATTTATTTTCCCCATTCTTTCAGTCTTAAAATTGAAAATTCCGAAAAATTGTTTATACAATAACAAATGATGTTTCGCACACTGAAGCACGCTTAACATTTGTTATTTAAACTTTACTAAATGGTTTGGAAATGCAGAATTTTCAATTTTAAGACAAAAAATGGGAAAACCTAAGTACTCGTTAAACGTAATGTCATTGAAACGATCTAAAATGTTTAAGGACATTAAAAATCTAATCAGGCCAATGTAAATTCGCGTCTGTTGATTGCTGCGGTGGTATTTAACTTTACTCTTGTTAACCATTTAAATAGCATGTAGTCTATATCAATATACTCCTTGTTAAGTATCTCTAGAGGCAAGATACAGTTATCATCGACGTCTGTAATGAACCATATCGGATCTGGTGCGAAAAACTACCGTTTTGCAGACCGATTTCACGTCTATTGTTTCACACAGTTTTTCTAATGAAGAATACCGGGTATTGGCCGATGTTTTGTGGGTTGAGCTAGTTTCAGGTGTAGAACATTATGCTGTTATAGTATCTAGAGATGTAAAATACCTGGGTATCTGCCCGAATTAAATGCGGGTAAATAACAATTTTTCCTTAGTATGCGGTAATTTATTATTATTCGGCTGCACACTATTTTACACTATATTTCCTCTTCAAATAACGTTTTTCAATGAGTAAATATTACATCGGCTAATTCCTTCACGATTTGATAGACTCTAGTGTAGAAGATATCACTATAGTATTTTCCCCTACATAGATATGCATATAGTGACACTTTTCATTAATTTTTCAGAGTTACTTTAAACTACCTTTAAAATTAGCATAACGGCACATAAACGAATTGCAACGATCTAGTCTAACGGTAGAACGCTAGGTTTCGGTCATCGAAGTACCAGGATCAAATCCAGCCAATCACCAATGGATTTTATCCATGTGACGATTCCGTGGCCCTCTAGGTCTACCCTAAAAACTTAACACGGAAATTTAACCTTTTCACACTTTCTTTGATCAACCATTAAAATTAGCACGACACACATGACGATGAGGATCGATCTGGTCTAGGTAGAACGGTAGGTTTCGGCCATCGAAGTACTAGGTTCAAATCCAGCCAATCCCCAATGGATTTTATCCATGTGCTAATGTCTGGCCCTTTAGGTCTACCCTAAAAATGTCACACGGAAACCTTCTCACACTTTCTCAACCTTTAAATTAGCACGACACCCTCGATGCAGTCAGCTGCTATCCCGATCATGATCTAAGGCCAGAGGTGTGGGAATATGCGCGACCTCTCCAAAACCTGTAACTTTTTGATCGCCGCCGCGACGAAAGTGGTCGGACAAGTTCGTTTTCTAATCTTTATGCCTGAGAAAGTGAACTGAGTCGATCCGAAATTGGGCAAAAGGCAGGGGAAGAAAGTAGGATTGCCCCGAGCCCCTGGGTCAACGACTTTCCTTACTTTCATCTTCGGAAAGTGAGTCAGTCAACTCAAGGTTAGGTGGGTGTGCGTCTAGACGAGTCTTCCCCTTCCGTCATTGAGGACCTTTGAGTATTGTTAGAGGTATTTAATCCCCATGTAAAGGTTGTCTCGAGATTTTAGATTTAAATTGACGTAGTTGAATTGATTCACCAACAGAGTGCGTTGATGGAAATTACTGATTTTTGTTGAATACGCTATAGCCTGTGTGATGGAACCTGTATATCTACCTTTCGTATACCTGGAGACTGGTCAATAGTTTAGGTACGGGCCAGTCCCTGGTAGAAGGATGGTCATGATTCATGTTCCACCATACATGCTATAACCTTTAACAGAGTCAATCTGATGGGAAAACTTATTCCAATATTTTATGTCCCATAATGTCTCAGTAACAAAGACTAAGGGAGGGTAATACAATTCAGATTGTAGTGTACTCTGTTATAGTGTGTACGATGGAACCTGTCTTCTGACCCTCCATATCCCTGCGAATAGCCCGGGTCACCATTGACCAGTCCCCAGATGAATGGTAAGAAGACCGGTTCCATCATACACACTATATTGACGTACACTGAATGAATACGGTACAATAAGAGGTTGACATAGATTCGCATCAGAGACTTTAACGGTGGGTTTCACCAGTTAGGTTGGTTAAAAAAGTTTATATTTTGAAAATTACTTGCCTGGAGAGCAAAAATCATTTTAATAAACTGAACTAACAATTAGTGGTGACACACAATCGATAAATACACTATTATCAGAGATTGACATTGATCCGCAAGAAAGATCAGACTATGGAAAGTCATAACTCAAGACGAGTGTCAATACAAATCTTCACTATCACTTAACAGTTTCAAAATTGCAACAATTTGAACCCGTACAAAACCGCAGGACAAAGGCTTTCTTAGGCAAATCCACTACTTTCACCGCAGTTCCACACAATGCCGGTATTTCTGTTGCGGTGGCAAGTGTGTACTTACTGCATTGTGCCGGGGACCTTTCCCGCCGAAATGACCTCCACTTTCCCGCGGTCGCGCACTTCGTCACAGTGTCGATGTCTGACCAGTCCAGGTGGACACTTTCACGCTGACTGTGGGAATTCTAAAAACTGTAGAAAGGAATTTCCGCGGTGTCTTAATTATTCTGAGGATAATGTGTTCTATGTTAACGAGATTCCTAAAAGTGCAGTTCTTGCTTGAACACTTGGCTAAAACTTATAGTACAGCCTGTAAGGTGGAACCTGTCTCCTGGCCCTCCTTCCTACCCGGGCCTTAAACCTTTGGGCAGTCACCTGGAGGACGGAGGGTAAGGAGACAGGCTATATCGTACAGACTGTAGGGAATACGCTTGATGAAATACGTCACACTTATACAAATGCAATAAAATTGACCTTGGATTTGATTGTGTAATTTTACGCAATTGGATTTTTTGTAAGGGAACTTATAAGATTTTGGTCTTTTTCATAACGTGGACGCTTTGTTAGATGACATAACTAATTGATAGTACATAACGAATTGCACTGAGGACTATAATCGGCTTTGCTTTGCATCGAATCAGCAACCTCCAAATTTGAAATAGCTATGACTACTAAATCACGTAATCAATTAAACCTTCAATCCAACAGGTGAACTCTTAGTCTACTTGAAAATACCAACCAATAAGAACCACTTTCGAAGACGTTCTCAGTTTGAATAACAACATCGTTGACAATTTTAAAGCAAGAGCATGTTTTGTTGTTTGTTAGGACGCTGGGCTCCAGACCGGGATATTTTTTCACATTGCTTCAGACTAGACCTAGAGATTTCGACATTATCACTTCAATTCGTAAGTCCATAGGGATTTGAACCCGTGACCTCTCGGACCGAAGTCCCACGCTCTACCACTAGACCAGCAATAGAAATATTATGGGTCTTTTAAAACGTAAACGCCGTACAAGCAATTTAAGTTTGTCGAAGATGTTTAATGTTGCGAGGTTAGTACTCCGCAGACTGTGGCAAAGACTTTCTTCGTCGGCCAGCGGGCTGGAACAGCTTAGTTTCGAAACTGGTCGATTACCCCAAAATTGGCTCGGGTAATAATTAAGGTGGCGTGTCGTGGGCAGCACGGGCCAAAAAACGCCGCCCTTGGCTACTGGGTTTTCAAAACGCCAATTATACTTAGGTTCCAAACTAAATGACAAGATTTACTCATGCTTGTGAGAAGAGTGGAGACCATTAGATTTCATTTTTCAAAGTGAGTTACGTTGGTAGGTAATGTATGATGTGGAGTTGGTGCTAATTGTACTACTTTGTCCATTGTTAACACTGTATCTGTGTACAGTTAAGTGATAATATGATTAGCTTATCCCTGCAAAACAGTTGTGCTAATTGCTTGACCCTAATTAGTCATTAGTACTTCGTGGTGGAAAAGTAGTTTGCATTACATTGACTGACATAGTTTACTGTCATCTTTTGAAATAGGTAAATAATTGTACGTTATAGATCACAAAATTGAAATATTTTCTAAATACTTGAAATTCTAAGGACTAGTGATAACCTTAAATTATAGGACATTTGGATCCTTTAACATAGACATTAGTTATCAGAGCTAAGAACACACAGAAATCCACATCTTCCAACAAGTGAAATAACAAAAAATTTGCTTGGATTGCAATCAGTATTCGGATACAAACATAATCGAACGAATCAATGTCTTATCTATATACAGGTTGTTTTGCAACCATGTGAACAAACTTTGTCACGTTATTTAGCATGTCAAAAGAAACAAAAAATGTAGGATAATACGTGTCCTATCTCATTTCGTTTTCGGTCTATCTGTCTGTCTGTATGTGATTTTTACAAAACATTCATAATCCTCAACTATTTGAGTTGCAGCGTTGAAATTCTGTAGGTTTTATCTTATTGACCACTATGTTTGTGCAACATATGAATAACAATTCTTGAACCGTTTAAAAATGGCTTTTAAAAATATTTCATGTCACACCATGA